ACTATTTTTAATAATAAAAAGGGTCTGTGTTGTTGCAACCAGTTATTGAATCTGCAAGATACTAGTAAACAAAAAGAGTAAAAACAATAATATTAAGAAATTATTTTAGTATTATTACTCTAGTCTTATATAATCTTCTTAATTATTCAGAAATCATTATAATATGCTCGTTTGTAACTCATTTCTTGTCATTATCAGTTAAGAAAACATTTTTTTAAAGAGGTGCTACTTTCTGTTATGCTTCACCTTTTGTAATAGTAGTGTATGAATCAACTGTCCTCAGTGGCAAAAGATGAATCTCAAAATCATACAGTGACTGTTGGAAAGGGGCTACATATGCAAATGCTGCATATAAAAAAGTGCAGGACCAGAGGGATTGTTATATGGACATCTGATATATGGCCTTACTGTATATGAATGTTAGCTTTTTTTTCTTCTGGAGAAGGTCTTATTTCTTTTAAGCTTGTCTGGAAATCAACTTTTACAGTGAAATTATCCATTTAAGATGTTTTTCTGGCTACAAAACAAACAATTGTTGTCTAATGACTTGCCTAATTAACCAAACTTGCCAAGTTAAACCAATCTACCTTTAAGCCTAAACAATGAGCATCTTGAAAAAATAACTAGTAAAATATTACGCAATGTTTCTAAAGCAAAATCATAATTAAAGCTAAAAAATATGGCCGGAAAGAGATAAAGTAAATTAGTTATTAGAAATTAGTTAATGAAACTATTATGTTTTTAGAAAGAGTTATTAGCCTACCTTTGATTTTTTTTTTTCAAATGATGTTTAACAGAGCAAGGACATTTTCACAGTATGTCTGATAATATTTTTTCTTCTGCAGAAAGTCTTATTTGTTTTATGTCTGCTAGAAGATAAGCAGTTTTTAAACAGAAATTGGGGAAAAAAATAAACAGGGGGCAAATAATTCAGGGGGCTAATAATTCTGACTTTAGCTACATATATAAATATATATGAAGAGTTCAACGTGTCACCATTACTCAGGTGTGATTTTTTTCACAGACTTCAACAGAGTGTAAAAATCTTAACCGTTCTGTGGGTTTTGTCTATCAAAACTTATCCTTATTTTGCATTTTCTATTGTATTCAGGTCAGGTGATTTGCTGGGCCAATCTACAGCTTGATTTTCTTTCTCTGAAACCATTTAAGAGTCTCCTTGGCTGTGTTTTGGATCATTGTCTTACTGAAATGTCTACTTTGGTTTCATCTTCATCATCCAGATAATGTAAATGTTCAACTGAAGCAGCTAATATTCATTTACAATGAGAAAGGCCAAAGAGTTGCTGAAGAACTACTGTGAGATTTCACTGCCTTTCTACACTTCCCTTTCTTTATGTGCTAAATAGTCATTTCATTTTATTACACAATTAAATTAATAAACTAATTACATTTGTTTTCATTTCATATATGCATTTCTTTAGTTGTTAGCAACATCTGGTGAAAATTTCAAGTTAACGGCACCTTAAGAAATATATTTTCTTAGAAAAATTGTGATGTTTTGAACAATTATTTCCCCACTCTATATATGAATTCTATGTGAAAGTTGACAAACAAGTGACTCTTAAATACCTAAAAAAACACAACTTAAAAACAGCAGTGCACCAACAAGTTAATATGCAATATTAAGATTAATCAAAGGTAGGTCAACTTCAGGAAGAACTTGTATTTGTAGATTCATATGTTTTATCCTGCGGAAAATATCATAATACAGCATAATTCCAGGGTTCCAAAACTATCCAGAGGTGTTTGTTTGTACACAGCAATTTTATCTGCAGAGAAAAGCATTGCAAAGCAGATGCTACAGATGGGAACGCTTACTCTGATCTGGAATCACAAGACGTTCTCAGCATCAACATTAAAAGCATGTTTGCTGACTGCAGCATTGGGAATAGAGGCAGAAAAAAAAGGTGTAAACTGAAGAAACAAACATGAATGCTCAGCCCCAGATTCCACACGCAAAATGTGACGTAACAGAAAATGATGGATGGTGAAAACTACAGTGGATTAAGGCAGTTGTTTTAGTCAATTTTGAGACGTTGGCTTTTCATAGTGTTTTTTCTTTTTTTGTTTAATAGAAAGACTTCAAAGCATTTAATAAAAATAAAAAAAAACATCCCAAAATACACTCGTGAAGGGTTTCTTCTGTCACACTTTATCAATTTGCGTCTGAAATTTTCAGTAAGTAATTACAAAAGCCACTTCATGGTTTTATAAACATCCCTGTTCTAAAGAGGTACATGACCGGTCTAAAGTTTGGGGTCAGTAGGATTTTTAAATGTTTTAAAATAAGCTTATCCTGCTCACCAAGGCTGCATTTATTTAATTAATAATACAGTACAAACAGTAAAATTGTGAAATAATATTTCACTATAAAATAACTGTTCAAAAGTAGTTTATAATGTAATTTAATAATTTATTCCAGTGATTTAAAAAATAAATTTTAGGTTTCATTATTCCAGTCTTTAGTCACATGATGCTTCAGAAATCACTCTGGAGTAATCATTTCATTTTAAACTACACACATTTTTTGGGGTATTATATAATACATACATTGGAGGTTATTGGGGGTGTAATGAACAGATTCCTTAAAGAAAACAGATTCCTGAAATCCTCTCAGTAAGTTTTTTCCAATATATATATATATATAATAATTTTGACCCTGACTGCATCCGACATTCAGATTTTGTGCTAAAATGGTATGCAAATTAGCATGTTTAATGAAACTCATTTGCATATTTCAACATACAATTTATTCATTTATTAATTTTCCTTCGGCTTAGTCCCTGTTTTATCAAGGGTTGCCACAGCAGAATAAACCGCCAACTACACTGGCATGTTTTACGCATCTGATGTCCTTCCAACCACAATAAACAGCATTAAATAAAAAATTATAAAGCAAAAAAAAATCCAAAACAGCTCATATAATCAATAAAATGGGAAAATATAAGGATAAGTAATACTGTAGTTATTTTTGAACTCTATTCATCTTCAGTGTCTTGCCTTGACAAATAAGGCAGGCAGAGGAATGCTGGAGAAGAGCCTGAATGAGCCTCTCTCTCTCTCTCTCTCTCTATCTCTCTCTCTTTTTCTCTCTCTCTTTCTCTGGATGTTTGCTCTGGATGTTATTGCGCAGTGCTGTGACGCACCTGTTTTGATGGAGACTCAGATCTGTCAATTGGGAAGTGGGTGGAAATCCCACGCCATGCACTTTATGAATTCTGCGTCTCCTAGCAACTACGAATCGGCGTGTTTCTCTCTCCCTGCGGAGGAGAGCCAGTGACGGAGTTCAGCATTGCTTTTGCTGGGGTGCAGAAGAATGAATCGCAGCCCAAGGAACCCCGATCCAACCCGCTGGCACCTTCACCAGCCCTGTTTCCATGGCAGCGGGAGGTCTCCTCACATGGCGCAAGTGGGCGGATGAGCGTGTGACATGATTACACTTCCTGTGGGATAATTAAGACTTCCTGTCTGAGGGATGGGAATCCCTCTTGCTCATTCTAGCATTCTGAAGCCCACATTCAAAATATTAACATTTCCTCATCCGTCGTTTCATGTGCAATCAGAATTAAAGATGAAAAGATTATATTATTCTTTTTGGTGGTCAGGAAGACTTTGAAGATCTACACGGTTGGTTGGGTTAATCTCAGATAGCAACATTCCACAACTTTATATGATGAGTACTGATCCTACATTCTCCTTTAAATATGAATATAAGCATCATGCAGGATAAATGAGTACAACCCTTACAGATCTTTCCATGGGATGCTATACTAAACCAAAAACTAATCAAACAAAAACAAAATTAAGGTCATAGTGCAAAAGTTACTACACCCCAATGAATATGTTAGGGAAAAATATAAAAAATAAACTAAATTTCAATACCTAGAGCTAAAAAAAATAAATAAAATTAAAATAACAATTACCCCCCCCCCAAATATCTAAAACAGTTCATATAATCAATAAAATGGGAAAATATGAAAATAACTATTAGTTATTTTTTAACTCTATTTAGAAATAATTTCACTTGAAACTACATTGAATAAAAAATATTCATATTTTCTTTAAAAACAATTAATGAAAAAAAAATTAAACTGACCCCAAACTTTTGACTGGTAGTGTGTGTGTATATACATACACACACACATATATGAGCAATATCAAACGAGTAGCAGTGCGATATGGCTGTATATCGGCACTGGTGGGAAGCGTGCGTTGTGGCCGAGTGCCTTAGTGCGCCAACCAGTGCCGATATACAGCCATATCGTACTGCTATGAGTGTAATATTGCGTTTATACAACAGCTTGATCACGACACGGATTCACCCAAAACAAAGGCCATGTGGATGCAAACATCCCTTGCTAAGCCATGATTTTACACACATCATGATCATAGGTGGCAGCAAGCAGGCTTTTACGTCAGTGGCCTCTGCCGCAAACACCTGATTTACGGCTGTTTCACAGATCCTTCTGTTTCTGTTTACCTGAAGCTGAAGTCAGAATTATTAGCCACCCTGCTTTTATTCTAGCCGAAATAAAACAAATAAGTTTAATAAAATTTTCTCCAGAAGAAAGCATACTATAGGAAATACTGTGAAATATTATTTGCTTTGTTGAACATTATTTGGGAATATTTAAAAAAGAAAAAAAAAATCACAGGAGGGCGAATAATTTTATCATTTCACTGTATGCAAAAACAACAACATTTTTTTTTTTTTTTTTTTTACTGGCATGGCCTTCATGATAGACTACCTGTGCAATTATTCAGTAGTCTTCAGTGCCACATAATTATTTAAATAATTGTTATAATATGATCATTTTAAAAAATACTTTTGTAGTATACTATATATAGTATATAGTATAGTATACTTTTATAAAGCTAATTTTATAGACTTAGCTAATTCTTGTCTTTTCATTTTTATTTCTTTGTCCCTTATGAAACTGGTGACTGCACTGTACGGGCAGATGTGTAAATGTGTGTACCTGAGAAAAGCCCAGGTTTCTGCAGCCGTTGCAGGGAGTGAGCGCCTCCCACAGGCCTGAGGGTCCACAGCTCTTTTCCTCCTCCTCCAACGCCGGGGGTAACGGGGGAGTGGGACGCTGCAGTCCAGAGAAGAGAGATAAATAAAGTTATATACAGTCAACAGTCAAGCACACAGGCTGAGCACAGATACTGATCTCACTTCAAGCCAACATAACACAAGATTTAGATAAGAAAAAGAAGGTACAAGGGGGAGGAGGCGGACCACTCGAAGAAAAAACTGAACACTCCATAAACCAGATGCAGGATACATTTACAAAAATTAACCTCTAGATCACCATTTTATTAATTACACTACAAAAAATGTGTTCTGTCTAAACTAATGAAGTTTATTCAACACAATTTATTACTGAAGTTAATTAAATTGGGGAAAAAGTCATTCTTTACGTGTAATAAGTTACATGTAATAAGTACTAAGATGTAATAATTTAGTACTACGTGTACTTAGTGTAATAAGTGTCTTAAGTACGAAGTGTAATACAAACCTCCAGTCATTCTGATAAAATATTTCATACTATTGTGAAAAAATATGAAACAAAGAATTTTCAACTTGTAATGCAAACAGAAAGCTTTTCAAAGTGCTTATTCTTTTTAAATTCTTCTTTATACATCTGGAAAAAAATGGGTCCTTTTGATTTCACTTATGTGGCAGCACCATTATAGCTAAAAGAGCCAATCGCCATTTTGTTGAAAGAGAAAAACTAACTCCTGACAACACTTCTGTCAGTTTATTGTGAATTTACTTTTGAAAGAATACTGACTAAATGTTTTGGACATTCCTCATTCAAGTCCACCTGTATTTTACTGTACTGACTTTCTTCAATAGAACTTAAATAAGGAACTAACCAATTTTTTAACATAGTGGCACACCAGTTTGTTTTAGAAATTCTCATGACACCGAGCAGCAAAGTAAATACTTTGTCTATACCCAAAAGAGTTGTTTTGCAGCGATGCTACAGTAAAACCATTTTTAGTTCACAAGAGAACATTTCAGTGCACAGTTGTTAAAAGAATCATGCATTTGCTTTTTATTTAATGTGAAGAACATATAATAATCTAAAGAACCTTTCCATTTTTCCAACCATTAAAAACTTTTGGGTTATACAAAGTCAGTTTTAAAGATTTTTTTATGAAACAACCAAGGCTAATAAAGAAAAGTTATTTATTTATTTGTTTGTTTGTTTATGTATTTATTTATTTAAGAGAGTATTTCTAGTTGTACTGTAAGTAAACTGTTTGCAAATGCAGTATCAAAACATGCACATTTTCTCTTATCTGTATTGCCTCCAATTTCAAAAATGCAAAACATACTGTACATTCCAGTCATTGTAAGTGTGTTGGGAGTAGTAGTAGTAGCAGTAGTCGTCACAGTAGTAGTAGCATTAGTAATCGCTAGTAGTAGTTGATGTAGTACTTGTTGTAATTATTATTATTATTATTATTATTGATGTCCATGTTATCATTACTGTTGTCTTTTTTTTTCATCTGTTCATTGTTGTTTTATTTTTCTTTTTTCTCCATTTGTGTGTGATCCCAAACAGTAAACTTGAGATTTTACTCTAGAATTTAGTAAACCCAGCCTACTTCAATATGATTGGACTGCTGGTTAATTGGAACGCTTTGTCCTGACTGAAAACATACAGAAGCTTAGAAAACAAATCTCATTCTAAAGACAGAAAATGACTAAATGGAGTGCAGTAGAGCAGTTCAAGCATTTCAAATACTCAGGGGAACAAATTGTCCATTTCTAAAAATCAGGGGGTACTTGTCCCACTCTGTGTTTATGGTGGTTATGGCCTTGTAAAATTCAACATGAACAATTGCTTTGCTTGTCTGTGACTTTCAGACCATTTATCTTTGACTTTTTAGAGGAATTATAGCATGATTCATGGTTTAAATATGTTAGTCTGACTCTCAATACTCCATTCTGTCTGATTCTATTTCTGAATATGTGATATATCTGTTTCTTCTTTTTCAGCTTCCCACAGAAACACATTCCTACACTGTTAAATATTTTGTAAAACAATATTGTACAAAATAAATGCATATAAAAATTTATGTTTACTTTACTGTGTTACTTTCTAATTCTTAGGGCCTACTCACACTATGCTATCCGAACCGTGCCCAGGCCCAATTCCTGGATCGTTTAAGAAGTGTGAGTGTGCTAAATCTGGCTCAGGCACGGTTCACTTGGCCGGCCCTGGCCCGGTTGGAAGAGGTGGGCCTGAGCAAGGTTCACTTGGGCTTTGGCGAGGTATGCTTGTAGTGTGAGTGCAAAACACGCCAAAGCCCGAAACTGAAAGCGAGACATGACTTTTAAGGGGCTGTTTCATTTGGATTTATTAATCAATCTTACTGTTCAATGAACAAAAAACACCGTAGTTTATTAAAGACGCAAACCCCTCAATGCACGACAGCTGCACACCTTCAGCAAATCTCATTCCTGCAGCACGAAGACTTTATGATTGTTTATGAGCACCAAAAGTGGCGGATCTGTTCGGCGATATATCTGACTGCGTGTCACCGCATCCGTAAGGACTGTTTTGCAAAATATTTGACTGCATGTCACTGCATATCAAACGACTTAAACGATATAACTAGAGAAATCTCCACTGTGCTGAGCGATATCGCTTACTGAACAGCGCAGCATCGATGACGTAAGCGTGCCCAGGCCTGATTGTAGTGTGAGTGCGGGCCGTCGGGGGAGACGGGAGGGGGGACAACTAGTATATCATACTCTGTAATAAAATACACAATAAAGTCATTACAGTTTATCTTTTTTATGTTATTTAAACTTAATTTAGAAAGTTAATCAGGTTTCAACTTATTATTTAAGTTAAATAAATTTTAGCTTGATGTTTTAAGCTTAATTGATGGAGGGGATCAGGGGTTGCCACAGCAGAATGAACCGCCAACTTATTCAGCATGTTTTACATAGCGGAAGCCCTTCCAGCCACAACCCAGTACTGGGAAACACCAATACACACTCATTCACACACATACACTACGACCAATTTAGTTCATATAATTCACCTATAGTGCATGTCTTTGGACTGTGGGGGAAAACGGGGCACTCGGAGGAAACCCATGCAAACACAGGGAGAACATGCAAACTCCACACAGAAATGCCAACTGGCCCTGCCAGGACTTGAACCAGCAACTTTCTTACTGTGAGGCGACAGTGTTAATCAATGGGCCACCATGCTGCCCAGTAAAAATGACTTGTGAAGTTAAATTGGTTCAACTTAATTTAAATAAGCAACATATTTTAACATACACACTTGCATATAAAACAATCATCTATAGCAATATACTGTATAAGGAAGATGAACAAAACATTTAAATAATTTTTATTTCTATACATTTAGTAACAGATAAAGCTGTTTTAAAAACACTATTTAATAACTATCTGGAAAATGCATAGCCAGTAAACATCCCTTTTGAAAGACTCTGCAAACACATCCATTTGACACATCTGACGTGTGACTGAAATTGATTGGAAGAGTATGTTTGTGTGTGCACGCGTGTCTTTGCTTGTTTATCTGGGCTCTGCAGACTTTGATTGATTGACCCGACACAAACACATTTAATTGTATCGATCAAACAGACGCAGTGGAGTAAGCTGTGATCCAGTGGTCACTGTGACAGACCTTCAGCAAAGCGCACACATTCCTAAAGCAGCTTATTTGTCTTTTACATAAGGTTAAACGCACTCCCTCAGCCAGCAATGTGAGGATGCCACATTAAAAATATTATTCTGTTTGTGTTAAATAGCATCAATGATTAAATCTGGGGCTGTTTTAGAGCTATAAATATGTATTTATGAGATTACATAAATTAAAAGGAAACATAGTGGTGAAAATAGAGTTTAGTTCTGCCCTCTGTTGGACAATGTGAGGTACTGCATCAACACTCTATGACTTAAAAGTTCATTAAAACCTTTTATTATTAATTTATTGATGTTTTGAAGTTCTGGAGGTACAAAGTGTACAATTTGTTAAAAATACTGTATATGTTACTTGGCGTTTTGCACACTACTTGCCCGATGATCAATGTTATACATGGAACTTTCTCTATTTAAATTCATGGATGAAATATTTCCTCTTCAATTGGAAATAAAAAAATAAAATACTCAGAGAGTCTATGCAATCTGGCAACTTTGTTCAGGAATATGTACATTGTTCTTTATTTTTAAGGATTAAAAATTTCCTCTTCAACTGAAAAAAAAATTACCCAGAGATTCATTCAATCTGGCAACCTAGTTCCAAAACAAAGTACATGGTTTATTATTGTCATGGATTAAAGATTTCTTCAATTTGAAAAACAAAAACAAAAAACACGGATACCCAGAAATTCTAAACAATCTGGCAATCTAGTCATAATATACGTACACGTTTCTTCATTTTATTGATTAAAGATTTTCTATTCAATTAGGGAAAATATTGGAAATGAGTGATTGAATGCAATCTGGCAACCCAGTCCCAAAATACATACACTGTTTTTGTTCTGTTTTGTGTGTGTGTGTGTCTTTGTACTATATAATTGACACTTTATGTCTGATGGGTTTAGTTGGTGTTTTGACTACATCCTGTCCTGTTTCAGTTTTCTTTTGTTCTTCTCCTGAGTACCAAAAAATAATGTATTTTCTACTGCAGCACACCTTGTTTATTCGGGTTAGAGTGCCGTTGCGTTCCTCGTCTGACAGTCGCCCGCTGCCGAAGCTCTCCATAGACTGAGAGTGAGAAGAGATGGTCTGACAAAGCTCCTCGAAGGAGCAATCCTTATCACGGCAAATCTTTATTTCATTCAGCAGCTTGGACAACTCCCCTGTTACTGCATCGTCTGCAAAGACAAGGAGAAAGAACGAAAGAAAGAAAGAGACTTTAAAAACACTTTGATTAACAGCAAAACCTCAGAAAGCTAAGTATAGCTATTATAAAACATCTCAAGACACTACTAATCACTAAAAATTACCATAAACCAACATACCAAGGCAACAAAAATCTAAATCTCTATATTTTCCCCTTCAATAGCCATTTTACGGGTTTTCCATATTGAAAATTTAGCTTGACCAACGAGAGAAAGAGAGAGAGAAAAGAGAGAGAGAGAGAGAGAGAGAGAGAGAGACAGACGGCAAACTTAAAATTTAAATTACAGTATAATGAGGTTACTGTAAACTTTTGAGGAGCTGAAAAAAAATCTGCCTTATTAGACTGCACAGTTTTTCTCAGTCTGCCACAGTTCACTGATGCAATTATATATACTTACATACATACATAGTTAAAAATGAACAGGTTACCTTAAATATTTAAGTTCAATCAAATTAACCTTTTTTTATTTAGTTGTTGTAACCTAAATTATATTAGACTAAATACATAAAAAAGCTGAAATAGGATTTATCCATGTCATGACTAACTGATCATTTAAGATTTTTGCAGTTTACTGGTTTTATACGATGATAACTAATATTGTTGCTTATTTATTCTTCATGTTTTTTTTTCTAAATTCTAAACATCTAACATTTTCTAACATTTAAAAGTGGTTTAAATTTAATTGATTAGATTTTAGATTAGAATCTGATTCTTAGATTGCATTGGGGTTATTATAGTACAATAAAACTGACACTAAAACTCTTTAAACCAAACAATTTGTTAATTATTAAGTGTTGCCTAGAAAGAAAAACATTTTATTTTTGCATCTCTGCCAATAACATGTTTCTCATTTCTCAAAAAACTAATCTAAAAAGAATAAAACAACAACAGAAAATCTAAAATCACTAAATGAAATTAACCCTTTAACTGCCCCACCAAGAAAAACATGTTTGGATTGCATTTCTTAACTCTTAATGTCACTAGTTAACACACCTAATGCATTTTTTTCAGCACATGCCTTTATTTATAAAATATCAGCCTCTACCAAATGACTGATAAGTCGGTTTATGGTAAAAGGGCCGGAAGTATTACCTATTATAAAAAATCAGAAAATAGTATGGAGTGTAAGACCAATTAATAAAAAAAATACTTAGAATAAAACATTTTTGAACACTAAATCACCTCTTTTTTTTAGTATGCCATAAAATATTTCAGAATCACATTTAACATGCTTTCTAGTTTTTTGTTTTGTTTTTTACAACAAAACCAAAATTAAGTGTAGTAGGGCAACAGGATGTTTTTTTTTTTTTTTTTTTTTTTGATTGTTTGTTTGAACAATGCTGTGTGTGTAAGCCATTATTTAAAACAGTGATTCTTTAAATGACATTCATTAATTATGACAGTAAAAACATGGTCAACCGTTTGGTAGATGGGCAGTCTAAGGGTTAATGATAAAAACTACAGTAGGTAATTGTACAATAGTATGTTGTATCTCAATATTATGCATATTAGGTATACATATACAGTTCTCAGCATTAATGAGTTCACTTAATTTTCATAAGGAATATTTTATACATTTATCAGGGAATATAGGCAATGTATTTTAATGTATTTAAACAAAACCGATTTATTAAACAGATACATTTATTAAAATAATACTTAAGTCACCAAACATATCTAGAAATTGAAAGATAAAACAATTAAATTCAAGCAAAATGTTATGAAATTTTTTTTTTTAAAAACTACAAAATTTCAAATACATTTTTCAATTTTTTTGCCTCTCTTGATTTTTTCTCTTTTTTTTTTAATTTGTCTTTAATATTTTTCTATAACATAAATTTGGGTGTACTAGTTTTTGAACCGTTATCGTAAGTTATTTTGTTACATAAGCTCCAGATTTGGCTTCAGCACTGACTAATCTAATGTATTTGCACAAATATAATATTGTATAGCTTTCTAATAAAAATAAAAATTAAAAGATAGATATGTGAGGAGTGTACTTATTATTGCTGAGCACTGAACTTTAAAAGACAGGTATTTCATTCTATTTAATAATATGACTAAAACTGATACGTACAATAAACACATTTCTGCAAGTATTAGTATGTCTAATAACATTTGAAATCTTCTTTTTAAATAAAGCTTTACTTTTGACTTCTAAACAGAGCTGCTAGAGCGTTCCTAAATCCATAGCTCAGGGAGTTATAGCAAATTAGATATTTTCCATCTCCCTCCTCTGAACAACCACAATTAATATTTCATCATTTGAAAAATCACAGAAAAACTATAATAGATATTTTTTCCATCTTTTGCAATATAACCAAATGTGAATTTTGCATACATTTGAATATGAAAAAAAATAATCAGTTTTGTCCAGTCAAAGCAACTGAATATATATATATACCTAAAACTTTGCATTTATAAACGATCATTATGGCAAAAGCACATCAAACTTCTCTGTAAAAGCTTTTAAATAAATGTGTTTTTACGTAACCAGCCTATTTATTTTTACTCTCTTGTCTTTTGAATATTTAATCGGGGACAAATGCTTGTTTTCTGGCATGGGCTCAGTGTGCTGATGTGTACTAACTGTCATTTTGTGGCTGGCAGACTCTCTGATTCACCTGTGATCATTATGAAAATGCTGCTCCAGCTGGAACCAAAGACGCACATCCAGCAGTAGTTCAGATTCAGACCACAAAGAGGACTAGCTAAACTGCCCTGCACTGCGACAACTGACCACTAGAGGCACTGCTGACTGCACTTCTGTAATAACTGGTAGATCCAAATATCTACCAGTTAATTTCCACTATTTGTGTTCTGGTCTGATACAAATATTGAACAAAACAATAACATTTTGTCTGTTTGTTTTTTGTTTGTTTGTTTTGTTTTATTTTTAAATATGGTTAAGGTGATTTAGATGTGCAAACACTGTATTAAACAGTAACATATTTGGCAGGAAAAAAACACTAAGCAGCAGACAATGTGCTGTAATAGCATCAAACTACCACTGGATGTCACACTGTACACTTAAATGCAAAAGAATATATGTAATAAAACACATAAAGGAATTCTCTTAAAGGGAACAATCACATTTAAGTTAATCCATACAATGAGAGAAACAGCACTGGCAATCAGTTTTTGCACTGTGATTTACAATACAAAGCAAGACAAAATATCATTTCAAAATATTAAAAATGGCAATAAAAGTCACTCTATTATACTGTTCAACATGAACAGCTTTCAGAGCTGATACCAAGATTCCATAATGCAATGATATCAATAGCTGATAATGCAAATCCAAATCAAAATCATGAACTGAATGTAGAACACCCATGAATCTCAAGATATGGGAAATCGTTAATAACAGGTATTTTTAAACTACTGCTGTTTAACAATTAATGTGTCTAATTACACACAAAATAAAAGCCCACACAGTATGTGCTCACATAATGATATTGGGTATAATGTGTTTATTATAAATGGAGGCCATTTGATTCAAGTTCAAGAGACCAGTCTGAGATGATTTACACTTTATGACATAGAGGGTTATCCTGCTGGAAGTGGCCATCAGAAGATGGGTGCACTGTAGTCATAAAGGGATGGACATGGTCAGCAACAACACTCAGGTACAACAGGCTGTGGTGTTCACACAATGCTTAATTGGTATTAACAGACCCAAAGTGTGCCAGAAAAATATCCGCTACACCATTACACCACCAGCAGCAGCCTGAACCATTGATACAACGCAGGATGGTTCCATACTTTCATTGTCCTGACATAAATTTCTGACCCTACCATCCAAATGTTGCAGCAGAAGTCGAGACTCGTGAGACCAGGCAACTTTTTTGCCTTCTGTTGTCAAATTTTGGCTAGCCTGTAGCCTCAGTTTTATGTTCCTATCTGTCAGAAATGGCAGTCGGTTAGATGCTCTTCTGCATACCTTGGTTGTAACGAGTGGTTATTTGAGTTAATGCCTTTCTATCAGCACAAACCAATCTGGCCATTCTCCTCTGACCTCTGGCATTAACAAGGCATTTGCACCCACAGCTCTGCGGCTCACTGGATTTTTTCTATTTTTCAGACCATTTTCGGTAAACCCTAGAGATGGTTGTGCATTAAAATCCCAGTAGATTAGCAATTTCTGAAATACTCCCAACCATTCAATGTTCAAAATCACTTAAATCATGTTTCTACCCCCATTCTGATGCTCGGTTTGAACTGCAGCAGATCGTCTTGACCATGTGTGTGTGTGTGTGTGTGTGTGTGTGTGTGAACACACACACATACACAAATATATTATGTAAATACAAGCATGATTAGTCACTGTTATTATTAAAAGTACTGTTTTAAAGCAATAAAATAAACATACTTTTATGCCGTAGAGACGGTGAGGGCACAGGAGACGGTATTGAAGTGCGTGGTGTAGGTATTGGCCGATGTCGTGCTAAGTCTTCGTGAAAATTCCCTCTGTCACAATCTGACATCATATAATCTAGAGGGAAAAACAATTTATTAACATACAATAAACAGACAAACATAAACACAAAAACACATTTGACATGAGCCAGCAAGGTTAGGATACGATTGTTAAGTTATAGTTGAGGATAACTAAAGCCTTACAGTGTGATTTCTATACAGGACCTGAAAGAAAGCAAGTAACTATGTATATACATTCCATTTTGTCTTATTTACTCCCCCTTTTTTCAATCTCTCTCTTTAAAAAAAAGAAAAGAAAAAAGGCATTTTAGGTTGGTGAAAACCAAAATGAGGTGGTTGTAATTGTAGCTCCAAACAACTATAGGTTGCACAAGCCACACGGTGACCATGAAAACAACAATAGTTTCAGCATCCCGTCAAAGACTGTAGATTTTAAAACCACAGCAAGTGTGATTTTGAGATTCCTTCACGCTAAGGATTCTGCTTCACTGCCCACACAGAGGCAGGGAGGAAAACTTTAATTTCGCCTCTGTTCTGTAGGATGACGGGTGATTTAGTCTCAAAAGGAGGCATTTTCAAGAGTCCTAAAGACCCAAGACTGCATTTCACAACCCTCAGAAATGAGAAACATGGGGCATGAAGTAAATGGAAACAACAAGTGAGCTAAACTGAATTTCAAAACCAGTTAACCACATCTTATTCTTTTATGAGGGTGTGTTTTTGACAGCGTAGTGGAACGTTGGGTTCAAATAACCCAGTGTCTTTTGTTTTGTATGATTAACTCTGCTGGAAAGAATGAGTTTAGTTGAAATTGTACAAGAAAGTTGAAAACAGGCTGAACAAAATTCAACAGCAGTAAAAAACGCTGAATGTGGTAACAAAGTAATAAACATGTAATCTCATGAACAGCTAATTAACAAGACTGAAGACACATCATTGAAAGCGTTTGATATTGTTTTTTGTCCAAAGTATGTCAGGGAACAGGGATTTCTAACGCATTAAACAACCATTGTTCTCAATCTAACACAAACTTCCTGGAATGAATTTTATCAATCTGCAAGCATCCGCTTTCTGATCTCCACCAAGAACGCACTCCCTTGTCAAATTGTGCACGTGTGTGAGAGTGTGCTTGTGTGTGTTTTAAGGGGTGTATTTCCCATAAAAAAAAGTTTCAGTGTGTGCGTATAGAAATCTGTGAAACACTTTACCGTGTATGAGAGAAGCAATTTGTTGTGATTTCTGAGACGGATGTTCTCTAAGTATATCTAGTGCAGTTCTTCCTTGGCAATCTCTGATGTTGGCATCAATCCCTGATAAAAAGAGAAAAACATATTAATTTGGATTCTTTATGTTTAGTGTTTTGTCAAAGTTTTTAATTTGTACATTTATTACAGTTTTCTAAGATAACTGGATTTATTACCAGTTAAAGCAACACCACACAACTGTTCCATCAGCCTATGATGATACTGAAACACTTAAAATACAAAAAGCTAACTAGGTAGATGCGATTTGCAGTCTTTGTCTAATTATTGTGGTCCTATTTTACAAAAGATGGCAAACAAAATCTAAAGCAAAGCTTGGAATATTTATTTAACAAGACTATTTAAAGGGAGAGTTCACCCAAAAGGGTTTATTTAACTCGTCCTTTACTTTTCCCAAACCTGTTTGAGTTTCTTCTGTTGAATCCCAAAAAAAAAAAAAAAATTGAAGAAAGATTAAGTAATCAATGACTTGCACAGTAAAAAAAACAAATACTATGAAATCAATGTTTACAGGTTTTGAGTAATTTAGTTTTCAATAAAAGGTGAGTTAATTTTTTGAGTGAACTAGCCCTTTAATGTTAAAACTAACAATACATGTACTCATTTACTGTGTAATTTTGAGCAGTAATGCAAGATATATATATATATATACAAGTTTAGTTTTCTTCCATTTATATCTGCTAAAAAATATATAAATATGAATAAGTTTATAATACAATACACACACATTTTAGTAATCTACATTAATTTAAAGATAGATTAAAACTAGCAAAATGATTTGAAACAAAAATCACTTAAATCCTTGCGCAAAAGTAATTTGTACGTTGCATCTTTTTTGTACAATGTTCTATAAAGTAACTGGGTTTAGTTTACTTTTTATTTCCAATAAAACAACACCACAAAACTGTTCCATCTGCCCATGATGATATTGAAACACTTAGAATACAAAAAGATTACTATGTAAATGAGATTTGCAGTCCTCGTCTAATTACTGTGATCCTCTTTCACAAAAGAGAGCAAACAAAATCTAAAGCAGAGCTTGGAATATTTATTTAACATGACCATTTAAAGGGAGAGTTCACAAAAAAAGTGTTTATTTTACTCCACCTTTACTTGTTTCTTTCTTCTGTCGAACCCAAAAGAAGAAAATGAAGAAAGATGGAAAGCTGACCACTTACTTTCACAATAGAGAAAACAAATACTATGGAAGGTCAGTTATTCAGTTTTCCGTAAACGGTGAGTAAATTTCAACCCAGGCTCATTCTGAAAATATTCAGAATTATATACAGTCAAGGCCTCTCTGTATCTCAAGTCTGCCAAAATACATGGCGAGCTACTGGACAAACTGGTAACAGCGGGAAAGTTGTCCATATGGATGTAAGCAGTCAGCTGGTAAGCTAGAAAAGGAACGGCATCATACCGGCCAAAAGCATTTGTTTTAAAGACAAAAAGCAGCCATACGTACTTTTGGCTACATAATTCGCGATCTCCTAAAATGAATATAGGGCTATATTTTCAGAATGAGCCTAGAAAATTTACATTTTTGGTTGAAGCATCCCTTTAATTTCACAACTTGAAATTGAATTTGAGAGTTAATCCATATATACAAACAGTAAAAGTTAGAGTTTAGTTTTCTTCCATTTTTATCTGCTAACAAAAAAAATATTAATATAAGGTTATAATATAAAACAAATATGTTAAAATAATATTTTTACTAATTAACATCAATTCAAAGATACAATAAAACAAGTAAAATGTTGAAACAAAAAATCATGTGAATCCTTGCGGAAAAACGACACAATAGAAAAATCAGGATTTACTTATTTTTATAAACGTTCAAAAACACAAAACTAAAACAATCTTCCCAAAATAATATTTTTCATAACAATAAAACAACGACAGAGCGGTCCCACCGCCCTTTCCCTACAACAGGAAGTTCCTCAATCCTACTTCCTGTTCCACAGCTGGCACTGACAGGAAAGCTGTTAGGTCACAGGTCACGCAAGTATTTTAAACAAACTATGGAAATGAAACATCCCATCTCAACCCCCCCCAACACACACACACACACACAATACAGTACAGTACACACATACCTGAGTCAAGCAGTAGCTGAACTACATCCATCTTTCCAAAGAGTGCGGCTTCGTGGAGGGCACTTCCTTTCTCTGTCTAGAAAGAGAGAGGAGAGATTTGAAGTCAATATTTTAAGCCCAAATGCCTCATATAAGAAGTAAACGGCAGTTATACACGACAGTGTCTTTACTACTGCTGCCCTCGCAGTCTATCAGCCGTCTACTGGGGCGACTGGCAGGGTGTTTTATATCACGCTCTCTGTGAAGTACTTAACTACACCCAATTTAGCTCTGGAAACATTTATTCAGTGTACTACAATTAACGGCAATGGCGCTGTGAATTTATGAGGCTGACTGATGGGGGCTTCAGAGGGAAAGAAACAGGCAAATGAGACCGAACGGCAGTCGAGATAGATGGAGAGAGAGCTTCTTGCACAGTTGAGCGTGGTCATTTTAATAGGCCACCGGGAGACTGCTCTCGATTCCCAATCAAATGGGCCCCCATCGGCCTTCATTAGTCTAGAGGCAACCATTCAACTCCAGAGTTTGCACTTCTCTCCCTCTATGGATCTGTGATGATGCAATACGCATTAAATAAGAACTTCAGGGACTTACCACTGTAATACTTAATCTTAAGCATGTCATGTTGCTGCAAAAATAGCCTTTCGTTTCAGCAAAGCGGTCTGGGAGAGCCAAAACTACCTCTGTGCAAAAGTCTGAGAAAGTGTTTTTGTCTGGCAATAGTGTCACAGCATTAATCTAGTTCTAGGACAACAGGGATTCTCTTTGTAACTTAAACTACAAAGTGGACATTTTGCATCTGCATTCTTTGTGTGCTTTGGTTTAAATCGTGGTAGACTTCAAATAAATGTCTTGGGCCATTGAATAGTTTCTCTGTTTCATGTTAGTAAGATTGTAGGTGGTTACTACAATTCTCTGAATGGTTAGCTCATAGGAATACACATTATCTCATTCAAAGGTGTATAAATATTAATGAGCCTCATTCACCGTCCATTTTTACAAAAAATATGTTGTTAAACCCCACTCATGCACTTTTCATGAAGATTCTGACATTCACTTACTGTATGTTTTGTTATTTGGATTTGTTCCTTATCACCCTGCAGCTCAAGACCAGTTACTCACAGAAGCTAAGTAGGGCTGAGCCTGGTCAGTACCTGGATGGAAGACCACATGGGAAAACTAGGTTGCTGTTGGAAGTAGTGGTAATGAGACCAGCAGGGGGCACTTAACCTGCAGTCTGTGTGAGTCCTAATGCCCTAGTAAAGTGAAGAGGACACTGTACTGTCAGTGGGTGGAGTCTTTAGGATGAGACTTTAAACCGAGGTTCTGACTCACTGTGGTCATTAAAAATCCCATGGCACATCTCGTAAAGAGAAGGGGTGTAACCCTGGTGTCCTGGCCAAATTCCCTCTATCGGCCCTTACTGGCCTCCCAATTGTCCACATCCACTAAATTTGTGCTATCACTGTCTCTCCACTCCCCCTATAGCTGGTGTGTGGTAAATGCACTGACGTCGTCGTGCTTCGGCTGCCGTCCCATCATCCAAGTGGATGCTGCACACTGGTGGTGGTGTGGAGAGACTCCCTCATTATTGTAAAGCGCTTTGGGTGTATGGCCATACACAATAAATGCGCTATATAAATACGCCTTACTCATTTACTTACTTAACTAAAAACATAATCTACAAACTCTCCAGACCAGTCATGCATTTATGTGAATGACGATAGATTGTTTAAAGTAATAGTTTATAGCAGTTTTATTCATTTTAAGTAAATAAACCCTTGGTTTAATTTCGTATCTAAAGAATGATGCTCACTGAACATTATAGGGCTCTAGTGATGTTAAAATTCAGATGGAGAGCAGAAAGTAAAAAACTGAATGGGAGACATAGAGGGAAGTCCATATTTTTGTGATTTATACTATACTGCAAAAAATGTATAAACAGAAAATAACCACATATGTTGGCATGATCCTTAAATAACGAAGAGGGCAGAGTTTTCTACTGAACTAAATATTATTGTCATCAATGCAGTAGATGCTGTATAAGCTATGTAATACTATAGATAATTACTTGAATTAAACTGTCGTAGTAATTATAGCTGTGGTACAGCACAACTGTAACAGTAAACAAATTATTTAATAGACTTCAGTTTTCTATGCTATATTATACACAATCACAATGCACCACAGTTTATACTTTAGTTACAGTATTTATTATAGTTTATCAGTTTACTATGGTACAGTAATCTGTAGCATTCATTAACAAAGAGTTGTACACATTAAACACTTTACTATGTGGTTCAAAAACATGTTGATTATAAATTACTATAGTTTTTCCCCCATGTAGATATCTTCCAGACATCACAAAATAACAGATGAAAGCATACAAAAGCGTGGACGCTTAGTCTACCTTATTATTTCTTAATTTTTGTAAGGGTGAACAAGTGCTCCTCAATAATAACCATCTATTTTTGTTGCAAGTGTTGCAATTCTTTTGTTCAGTCGATGAGCTTGACTTTAGCAAACATTCACTGCTGCTGCTCATCTCGATGTTCATGTTATGATTGTTTATTCTGCCGAAACGCCAGTAAAGACATGGATTACTGCAAAGCAAGACAGAGATAACATTGCAGTGATTACATGGCAGGGTACATCAATTATATTCTCCTGAATTTTGTATAAAGTGGTGGAGTTTGTATCCGATTTTTATATAACACATTAGCATATTTATACAGATAGCTATATAATCTTTAATAGTGCTGTCAAATGAATTATCACGTTCAAAAAAGTTTGTACACATGGATGTATTGAAAAAAATGTTTACTACGTGCCGCCTTTTCTTTTTCTGCAAGTTTGTTGAACTTTCTCCAATTTATGAGCAAAAACTTTTGGAAGTCTATAAAAGCTGTTCGGCATTTCTTATTGTGGCAGATTTAAATAATTATAAACAACATGAGACAAATATTTTGATGTTCTGACAGCGATTCCTATGTAGAAGAATCACTTCCTGCCCTCCATCTGAATTTCACGCGTCATCAATGACATCATGTGGAAACCTATAGAGTGCCCATCAATATACTGGGGTGTTAGGACCAGCACAGACTGCAAGTTGAGCACCTCTTCTGGCAGCTATCTAGTTTTACCATGTCATCTCCCAATCAGGTTCTAACAGGCAAAGTCCTGCTTAGCTTCAGTGGGCAACCATGTGAGAGCTACATAAAACTAGCTGCCAGTAAACAGATGAATATGTATATCAAAACAAAACATTGAAATCTTTGGTTGTAAGAGTGTCACTCTAGCTCACTCTAGCGATCCCTCCAGTAAAATCTGAGTCATAGCAAATGTGATTCAGCACTATTATAGGTTTACTCAAAGCAAAAAAGTTAAGAGGTTTGTTGAAAACCTGGACAGTGCGCAACCATCAATAATGGGGTAGAGTCATTATGTACAATATGACGAACACCAATAAATGGAAAAGTGTGGAAATCTGTAGTGAGGCGTGATTTTAAATTGTAGCTGGACTCTTATCTGTAGGGTGCAACAGATGCCAGGTAATGCTGCATGACCCATGTGGCAAGCAGGGCAGGACCAACTGTCATGAAAACAAGAGTGAAGCCATAATGATTGCTTAACAGCAAAACCTGTGCAGCAAATTAGGTTCTTTGATTAACAGAAAGTATGATGACAGTGAAAGAAGATATAGATATAGAGATGCTATATTCAAAAGTTTTAAAAACACACATTTATTTAAAACTTGAAAAGGCATCTTTGGATATCTTTCTTCTCTTTGCATCAAAATTAAGCCTCCGCACTGCTTGGTTCTATAGCATAAGGAACAAAGATCATTTTCAGCTACTATCTCTTGTTTAATCTATCATTACCCCCAGGTGCTATGGTCATCACGAGGACAATCCTAGTAGTGCGTGCCAGTGTTGCACTGTACCACTTGTGCCCTGCTTGCCACATACTCCCATCACGATCACAAGCTGAGGGCTGCTGGGGTGTGAAGGGCAAAGGAGGCATGTGGTAAGCAGTGTGCCAGTGAAGGACGAGATAGGAACAGCCCTGGAACATTTTATAGTGTTGTTTTGATTTTGTTTATGAGGCAGTACTCTGTGATCACCGCTGTTTATTTAGGTGATCAAAGTTTATGTTTATCCTTTGCATGTTCCCATCATCTCCTTGCCCTAACATTGAATTTGCTACAAGCCCTTAAGGTTTTTGCATTTGTCTAAATTGCTTTTCTATTTATATTTGATGTAAGCATGCGAAAGATAGACATCTTTATATTGTGTTAATGCCTTTAGCAGATAACACTGTTCTATAAATGTGGCTTTCCCTTTTTTTTTCATTCGTCTGCCCTACATCAACATTTTTTAAAACACACTATATGGATTGTCAAAGATAAAAAAAATAAAAAAAAACATTTAATCTTAAGTCTAAAGATTCCTGAGTTCTGTTTCATTTATTTGGGGCTGACTATTGTTCTTCATAACAAGAATGTATCCTGTATACACCCCAGAGTCTGTTCTAAGTTCTTACAAAAAACTGAAGACAAAAACAACAATAACAATGTGAAACAACACCTGCATGAGGTTACGTAAAATCAAAGCAATGAATGTAGCCAGAGCTGGTACACTTTCAGAGTGGCTGAATTACTTTTGACCATTTTATCCTATTCAGAGATGTGCAGAGTTTTTTCAGGATGTATTTTACATTACAAGGCTCAAAGGTGCACACTTGAGAGTACTGTTCCAGCAACAAATTATGTTTTGAACAGCACACTTTCAATTATAAGATGTTTTCAGTAATGTTTTCAGTTTGTGTAATACATGCGCATGCTTCAGTGAACCAAACTCATCTATTCATTTAATTCAATTACATTTCATTGATTAATCAAACTTATTTAAGTTTTTAGATGAATATTAAGTGTATTCTGCCAACAGCAATCTCTAATTGGCAATATCTCAAAGATTACCTATTTTCTGATATAAAATGAACGTTAACAATTTTGCATTCCTACTGTATACCAATAATTGTCTATGAACGATTGCACTTATTATTTTACTATTTAACTTCCATATGCGAGCATAGGTGTCTACTAAATACAAACTATTCGCCTAATTTGACTTTACTTTTAGGCTTTACATAGATAAAAATCACATACAAAAAACACATACAAAACACCATTCCATCATATTTTGCAAGAAAAGTGTTATGTTAACACTTGTGTGTCTACTGCTGGTCTAAATCTGCTTGACTTCTGGGCGCAATTATTCAATCTCAATGACATGAACCATTATAAGGGTGGTCAAATGTATATTTATATGATCTTTTTTTATTTTAATATCATTATTTAACAATACAGATCTGAGCAAACTATTTCCCACTATTTTAAAGGCTGACCCACCACACATCTTGTTTTGATGTCCTTTAGGGGGGATCAAGTGTTATATAAAGGGGTCAAACCCCCTTGTAATTTGCACTCTGATTATAAACCACAACTCAAAGAATACATTAGCTTTTATAAGACATGCATTCAAAAATAGAGCTTACATCCTGTTTACTTACTCTGAGAAGATAAATCCTCAAAAACAGCTGTAGATAAAACATTCATCCTTGAACCTGGGGTTAAATTCCAGATTAGCGAAAAGTCCAGGACAACTAAGGAGTTGTAAATGGCTTAATCCTGGATGAACATGGTGAAGACTGCAGAGCGCACAGTTCTCACTGTATGTTAAACTTGGATTTCTGTGCTGTTAGGGATGAGCAACAAGTGCTCCCACAACGGGACAGGAAGAGGGACCCCCTCCTTTGAATGAGGACCACTTCCTGTCTAGTTTCCCATGGCGATTAGCTATTGATGTCACCAGGAGGAGGAAATCGATTCACTCTCACTGTGCTTCCAGGAATTGAGAAGTGGCAAGCAGATTGCCTTCATCTTTCTTTCTTTATCACTACTGCACTGCACTGTGGTACTGAATGTACTTGTAAGTTTTGCTCTGACAGATTGCCTTTCTCAGTGGAAAACCAAAGATGAAAACTACAGGGACACACATCATAAAATGTGGAATAGACTCATTGATCAACCATGTAATTGGACATTTCATGCCACGTGTTAATCTGAGATTAACTCATCTCTCCTTTTTGCTGTTGCTGGGTCATTCAAAGTACCTCCATACATACTGTACAACATTATGTCCTTCGTTCAAAATTTAGCTCATCATCTCATGCAAATTAAACATCAAATATGTTCTCAGATAAGCTGGAACATGCGTGGTAAGGACACCCTGTCGCACTGTATATTCAAGGTTAAAATAAGAGTGAAATAAAACTGTACCTCTCACAGAGACAGAGAAAGACAGTTGACGGGAAAACCACGCTTTCTGAGATCAAAGCTTCCTCTGATCATTCTCTTTCACACACACACACAACACTGAAGCACTTAAATGCAGACAACCCAGCAGCGTTCCATCACACACATGCGCGCGCACACACACATACAGAATACCTAAATAGAAACTTTAATATAAACAGCATTTGCAGCCTGACATATGACAGGCAGACATTAACAAGAGGATACATAAACCTTTGAAGCTGTATTTGTAAGGATTTTTTTCTCAATACTGCCATAAGTTTTATACTAAGATAATGAAAAACATTATTTGAGTGTTCTATTTCTATTTGGTGGCTCCTATGGTGTTTGGAGTGGTTGTTAGGGTGTTTCAATAGTGTTTGGGTGATTAATAAATAGTTGTTGAGGATGATGTCTATGTGTAGATGCCAGTCTGTGACTGCTGTGCACCTTCTAAGGTGATTGATATTGTTAGGATGTTTTAACTAGGTGATGTGTAGGTGACTGGTTGAGGCTTATTATGGCTAGCAGTGGTTACTGGAGTGTTTACTCACACTAGGCTATCCGAACCATGCCCAGACATGTTTGACCCAAATTTCCTGGTTCGTTTGACAAGTATGAGGGCTTTGTGCCACACCTGGTTTGGCCGGGCAGCCCTGGCCCGGTTGGAAGAGGTGGGCCAGAGTGCAGTTCAGATGGGCTCTGGTGCAGCATGCTTGTAATGTGAGTGCAAAGTGTGCGGGAGCACCAAACTGATGCAAAGTGTCTTTTATAAGGATTTATTAATCATTCTTACTTTTCAATGAACACGAACTGTACAAATCAAAGATGCAAATCCCTCCACTGCCACTTTCAGCTTCACTCTTAATACGTCCAACATGATAGGGCTGGGCGAAATGGCCAAAATGAAATCTTGATAATTATTCTCCATATTGAAAGATAACAATATATATTTCGATATAAGTTGTTAATGCTTTCAGGTTTAAAAAGGGTACCCCAACAATGACTGAAGCCACAAAAATTGGAGGGTCCATTAAACAGCATAACATATTTTCTGCCAATAAAATTTTGGTGGCTGTAATTTCGGTACATCTCTAATATCGACACATTTTTAGATTCCCATTGTTGCACATTTCTGTTGTGTGATTGGCTCTTAGATCAATATAGAGTAAAAAAAATGCTTATTGTTATGGACAAATTTTATTGTTATTAGATATAATATCACTCATCGGCCCAGCCCAAGATGATGACTTTCATGAAAATTTATGAGTGCCTAAAGTGCAAATGATTTGACTAAAAATTACTGCATCCCAAACAACTTAAAATAATACAAAACATTATAATTAAACCAATCTCTACTGTACTGAGCGAGAGCACTTCTCTTCCTAACTGAACAGTCGCATCATCGATGATGTAAAATCTAGAGGTAAAAATGCAGCATGAATGTGGCCAGAGAGGGAGAGTGGGGACAATTGTCCCCAGACACGGATTAAGGCAACCGTGCCTAGTGTGAGTGCTCCCTCATTGTTGTTAGGTTGATGAGGGAGACTGTTTTGCAGTTGTTCGAGTCTGTTCTGGATGGCTGCTATTCTGATTGGACACATTGTCATTATTTGATCATACACATGCATACTTGTTTTGGTGACTTATGAAGACACTTCATATGTGTAATGTATTTTATGCTCTCCATACGCGTAATGTATTTTATACTTATATAATATTATTAAAGTATATCGCTTAATACTACCCTTCCCCCAAACCCAACCATTCATGTACCTGTGGCAAATTTTGAATGTAAAATACTGTTGAGTATAATTTTATAACAGTTTTGATTTATATTATTTTATTATACACATTTTTAAACCCAAAAAACAGTGCACACACATACTCACACACAAAATGTTTGTGAGATTAGACAACCACATCCCATATCATAAAAAGACTTCTACCTTTTTCAACATACTGTTAACTATTCTCAATGCAAAATACTTTAACATTTAAATGTCTTCACAAGCCTTTTTAAAATGTATTTTCCACTTTCATTGATATGGTATGAATTGTTTTTCAAATTGAGGTTGTCCCCAAAAGTTCCCAAAGGGAAGATTTGTATGATTTAGGTCACTTCTTGGTACAAAATATGTCCCTGAAGTATAAGAAAGTAAACACACACTAGGGTAGCCCAAGGAAACCCTGGACTGAGAACAGAGTGTTCCTCTACTGTGTTTCACTTACTCTCATAGCTAGATTAATTATTCATCCAATCGAGCCCTTAAACCATCCCCTCTCTCTCCCTCTCTTATGAATGGAGCATGAAAACTGAGATTTGGAGTGAATGTGTATGAGTTGTACAGGAAGAGGATAGCTTGCCCATACACTGACCTGTGTGTTAACGTCCATGTCGGCCTCCAGAAGCACTTGAACTGTAGCATAATGGCCATTGCGGGCAGCCAGGTGTAGAGGTGTGTGTTTGCGTGTATTACAGCTCATTAGATTAGGGTGGGCCGTCAGTAGCATGCGGACCACCTGTAGGCGACCGTAGAGGGCGGCCAGGTCCAGCGGCGTTTCTCCTCGACTGTTCCTCATGCTGGGGTCTGTCAGCTCTTGCAACAAAACACGGACCACCTCGGAGTGACCGTACTGAGCTGCACAGTGTAACGCTGTCTCCTTCTCAAGGTTCTACATTAGAGAGAGAGACACAGAGAGACAGCGTGTTACTGTAACAGAAATTCACTATGAAGCATTCATTATCAAAACATGAGCTGTCATTCAACTGTCTGTCAATCATATACTGCCCTAAATAAGGCCTGTAAAGCATTGCAAGGGCCCTCAGGCTATTGCCATGATTTTTTTAGCACACAGCACAGCAGCACAGATACACACCCTGATTGTATCCCTGCATCACATCAATTTAATACCACACCAATTCAATGCATCAATTCAATGATTTATTGGTGAAAAATAATAAAGACACATTTCTTAAAGTTGAATCATTTGGATGAATAAGCAGATTTATGCTGTCGTCATGTGATGAAATACTGGAATAAGTGCAATGTTAAAGTATAAGTGACACATTACAGTGCTATAATGTTGTGTGCATTTACCATGGTGTTTACTAAAACAATGTGGATGTTAAAAGTCCTTGTGAAATCCTAATGTACAATGCTAGTGTACAGTGTTATTATTTAGGGGAACAAGTAATCTGTGCAAGTTAATCTGAAATAAAAGTCTCAGCAACTTCTGGTTCACTCAGACTTTAAGGGCCATCACAAATGACACAAAGCACATTAACTATATACACTCACCGGCCTCTTTATTAGGTACACCTTACTAGTACCTTGTTAAACCCCCTTTTGCCTTCAGAACTGCCTTAATCCTTCATGGCATGGAATCAACAGATACTGGAAATATTCCTCAGAGATTTTGGTCCATATTGACATGATAGCATCAGGCAGTTTCTGCAGATTTGTCCACTGTTATAAAGGGATGGACATGATCAGCAACAGCACTCAGGTAGGCAGTGGTGTTGACACAATGCTCAATTGGTACTAATGGGCCCAAAGTGTACCAAAAAAATATCCCCACACCATAACAGCACCACCACCAGCCTGAACCTGGAATCAACAACAATGCCACATTTAAAGTCACTTAAATCATGTTTCTTCCCCATTCTGATGCTCGGTTTGAACTGCAGCAGATTAGCCGCGTTTCCACTATCATGCCTATAGCGAGCGAACCAGGGCGAGTCAAGGCCAGTCACATTTCCACTGTCACCTCTGGGGCCTAATCGGGCCAAAGCGGGGCTTTCTAGGGGGCCAGCGGTCGGCCTTTTTCAGCCCGCCAAACACCTTGGGGCAAAGAGGGCCAGTTGGGGCTTCGGGGTGGAGTGAAAGGAAAGGCAGACACTAGTTTTCTGATCACACACGAGTACATGTGCCAAACAAATAAATAAATAAGGGAAAGAAAACCTCTAGCCTTGTAGGCTGGGGTCTTTTTGCGTATGATTGCCCTTATGTTTCCCTTTTAAATGTAAAGCTGTTGCATAAAATAATAAAGTTTTCATTTATAAGTGACATTCTTTGCTGCGTCCTCCTTGATGTTTCAATAACGCATAATAATCTTTACCACATATTAAAGACACAGCAGAAAGTAAAGGTTTTCCACAGATTTTGTCAAGTTTAAAAAGTGTGTTTGTGCGCGTTTAGATACCTGTATATGAATGTGAGACTGAGCAAAAGAGCGCTCCCTGCACAGCCCTGTTAATCCCGCGACCAGCTTTTTTCTTCTTGTTATTTATTTTGTAGATAATACACAATATAAATACAACAGAAAGAAATAAAACTAAACAAATTTTACTCCACTTTTGTAGGCTCACCTAGTACCATATCTTGATAAAATAGCCTAAGCTATATTCAAATAATTTTAAGAATTACAAATATCGGATATAATAAAATTATTATTAAAATAAAATAATTATTATTATTATTAAAATCGTGCAAACAGAGCATTTTTTGGGTGAGTGAAAGCAGAAACTAGGCTACCTTCTTTTTTGTCATGCACAGCACTTTACAAAGGCATCGGGGAAAACTGCTAATACAAAATGTGTTCTGTGTCCTCAAGTGTTTATGGTTTTATATCACATGCTAAAATTTAAAAATGTAATTTTAAATGCATGAAGAAGTTGCAAAGTTGCTGAGCGCAACGAAATATAGTATTTATAAAAATATTTTATTACTTGTTCTTAGTGCTGAAATACGTAACACTTTTCTTAAGATCATAGAATAATGCAACATCCTTAAATAAAGGGAAATCACCTGTCATATAGCCTATGAGGAAAAATGTATGTTTCAGGTCTCTCCAGAGCATTTGGGCTGAATGTTTGACTGCGTCTATCTAAATGAGGATGCTATAAAATACATTTTCTACTGAGTTATTAACGGAAAATTTCTGTGGTGTAATTTTATGGATGGTGCGCTATAATGAATGAAAATACACAGGCCTGTGCGTATAGACATATAATGTACTGCTGTACAGTAACGTGTCATTTGTTTGTTTTAGTGGTCTTCATTTTACTCGTTTATTTTTGATGTGATGGTGTGCTTTATCTGCCTGATTCCCGCTGAAGTGGGCAGGTTGTGTGTGTGACGTTTGATTTGGGGGATGTTGTGGGAGCGGGGTTTGCGTGATGCGCTGCGAGCTACTAGCCCAACAGTGGAAACGCGACATGATTTCGGCTTCACTGCTCAACCTCCCAGGCGATTGGCCCGGCCCGGCCCAATAAAAGCCCTGGCTTACACTGGTCCAATAGTGGAAATGCGGCTGTTGTCTTGACCATGTTCACATGCCTAAATGCATTGAGTTGCTCCCATGTGATTTTCTCATAAGAATTTTGTGTTAAAGAGTAGTTGGACAGGTGTACCTAATAAAGAAATAAAGTTTAGAGTGTAGATAACAATAAAGATAGAGTTCTAAAAAAAAAAACATTCTTAATGTAAAACACCAGTCCACATCTATAACGATAAAGATATACATATGCAGGATATGCAAAAAAATCAATGCATTAGTGGCATACCTGCAGGTTACAAGGTTGTACTTCCAGCTGAAAAGTATAAACTACACATTAACATATTGTAAATGTTCATCAGTGAGAATGCAAATATACTTATAGTTATTTTTATTAGTGTGAACGGGTCTTTACAATGATGTTACTGGAATATTTTGTTTGTTTATTGTGGTGATACTACTGTAGAACGTTGATGAGTTGCTAGAATGTTGTGTCTGGTTACCACTATGTTGTTAGAATGTTGTGTCTGCTACCTAGGTGTTGCCACAAAATGCTAAAAATGCTAAAAACAGTATGCCATTATTTGGCTACACACACACATACAAAACATAGTGCATACATTTGCAAAAACTACAGTTAAAATGACTGTGACTGCAAAGTAAATCTCATGATGTTTATAATGAGAGAAATCATGCATCATGGACACACTCTACAAATGTCTGCCATTTCCAGGTGTTTTATTTAAAATGTCTCTGATTCGTTTCTGCATTCTTAAACTAAACTTCAATATGATTAATAAGTGACACTTCATTTATCTCCGCATTTCACTGAAATTGGGCTTTTTCCTTCCTTACCTCCAATTTAATGGGGAACGTTGTTTATTTTGGTGGCACTTTTGCCACAAGCCCTCTATTAATTTATAACCCACCTAAGATTTTATATATTGGTCCAATAAAAAAGAAATTAAATATTGTAAGTCTTTCAGTCTTCAGATCATTTAGAATTATCAGCTCTTCTCCAAGTGCACAAATGGAGTGAGCCCAGTTAAGAGTTTTAACATGTAAACCTACAAAGCTGACAACTATTTCATCCACCTGACCCAAACAGACCATAACCTGCAATATAACTCAACAGTGCTCTCTGTTGGCAATACAGCACACCACACTCTATACTGTACACGTGTTTGTGTGCTTGTTTTAGAGGAGTGCTCCTACAAACGAGTCAGAAATATGCATTTATGTCAGTAACATGAAGGCAAACGAAGCATTCATGCAAGGTCTGTCAATAAACAAGAGAACTGCAGCAAGCGGCCGCTTTAACCGCAATGACTTATTTCAGGCAAATGGGTTCCTTAATTAGCCAGACATGATTGAAAATGATGATAAGAGACTCCCAGTCCCTGAAGCAGCACAAAGAAACAGACCTGATACTGCAAGGAGATATCTCTAGCGCTCTCTCATACTCTTTAATCTCTTTTTTTCAGCCTTGAACGGCAAACACACACACCGTAATTTCCTGCATCTATTTGCCGAGCCTACATCATACATCTGTATGTCGGCCAGAAAGAGCAATATCCAGAGTGACAGCAGGCCGATTTCCCACTGTTTACACCCTATTGGTTAATATCCAAGATGGGCTGTCATGATAAAACAACAGAAGTGGCTTTTGCATTCAATAAATGAAACGACACACAATGGTGAAGGCGTATCTAGCGAACAGCATTTTAAATGACACAAAACACACCATTAAAGTGAAACAAGACAAACGGGCTCAACAAAAGTGCTTTGTTCATTGATGAGGACCTGTGAGTCTCGTCTCATACAGCGGATCACTAAAGCAGATGTAGAAACAGACAGTGAAAGCCCCCAGGGGGGATTGAGGAGGTGTGGAGGAGCACATTAGTCTCGGCTAGCCTGTACAATCCTGTGCTGTTTAATGTGGATTCGGTCTCTGAGCCGATATTGTAGAATTAAAAGAGTATTCTGGTTTAGATATGCCCAGCTTAGACAGCTCAGACTGCATTTGTGGCATAATGTTGACTGTAAAAAATAAAATAAAATGAAACAAAACATATATTTTAAAAAATAGATGTCATGCATGAAATTTAAAATAAAAGTAAACAGACATTTCAAATGTTCGAGTTAGTATGTTAAATGACTTAGATTTGTTAAAGGGCACCTATTTTATCCCTTTTTCAAGATTTAGGATAAATCTTTTGTGTCTCCAGAATGTGTCTGTGAAGTTTCAGCTCAAGACACCCCCATCAGATTATTTATTATACCTTTCAGAATATTGGATTTTCTGCTTTAGACACCATGTAGCTTTTTTTGTTGCCTGTGCCTTTAAAGGGCACATAGTTTACCCCTTTTTTAAGATGTAATATTAATATTATGGT